CTCTCTGTTCTCTCACGTTCGAACCCGAACTGAGTGGCTACTGTTGTGATATCCCGTCCCCAAAATTATTCTTTTATTTTATTGTTGACGTATTTCGAAGATTTGATTGGAACTAGTTCTTTATTTCTCCAAATTTAAGAAAACGAAGTGAGGGGTACTTTAGTCATGTCTAATTTTCTCGACTTTTTCGGTCAACTCTTGAATTGGTTAGGTAGAGTTCGATTCCATGAGCGCGTAGGCGTAAACCGATCTTATTTCCGAGTCCGAATGGGGAAGTTAGAGTCATTTGAAGTTGGTGGCATTTTGGTAATATTACCAAAATGCTATAAATTGGGGGGATTTCAGAAAATGGGAGAGGGAAACCGCCCAAAAACCGTTTAGGGGAAAATTTGACCCATAAACCCACCAAACTTGACCCGCTTGTATCTTTTTCATCCGAACTCCGTTTTGGATGATCTTGGTGTCCCTGGAAAGCTCTTGCCGAGCTCTACATCTCTGTGATTTTAGATTTCCCCATTTCCTTTCCATCTTTGCAGCTCGAGGTCGCAAAGTCCACGACTTTTCCGGCGGTTTTATCATTTTTCCGGCGATTCCGGCAACGATTTCCTTCGAGTGAGGTATGAAACTTCATCTACTCTTCATAATCTTCAAGTTGGTATGCTTAGTTGGTGCTTTCGTATTCATTTTGGAGTTGGGTGTTTAGAACACCTAGAAATCCGGTTTTCTCCGGTGAAATAGGACGGTTTCCGGTTAGAATTTATCGTCGGCCTAGTTGTGAAAAGTGTTTCCCTTGTTGAACTCTAGCTACCACGTAAATTTGAGCCAATCTAGTTAATGTTGAAATTCGGGGTTTGTAAACCCTCCACCTTGACTTCCATCGCGTGTGGAGGTGCGTAGGATCGTTCACGAGTGTTGTCTAGGTTTCAAATACCTTCTAGTGATCATGTGAACCTATGTCTAGCTTGGTTGCCAAAGATTCAATTGTTGGGTGTGGTGATCAATTTGGACCGCCACTTGTTTGTGTGATTGACGACAATTCGACCATTGGATCATAATGAAACTTTAGTATGTTATCCTCGAAGCATAATGTGGACTTTGGGAACTTATGGATCATAAATTTGATTTGCGGATTGTTGTGGACCCCATCGTTGACCGAGAGTTGAATTGTGGTCAACATGTCTCGGAACGTTCTAAATAATAAAATTAGTACTAGGGGAGACTTAAGTGAAGTCTAATGGGTCTACATTGGTTAGAGAGTGACTTGAACATATGTGGTATGGTTATTATCTTGATTTCTTATATTGATATCATCTGTGAATTTTACTTGGTCTTATAATGTGATTCTATTGAAATGTGATTATATATGTATTTATATATATTTAGCCATAGACATATGTTTATCAAACATGATTTGGCTTATGTACTGATGATGATCGTGATATGTGAATTGACGTGCATATTCGAAAGGTGTTTGATTTACATAGATGGTATGTTATGATGAAATGTGAGTGAATTTAAGATATGTGAATATGAAATGGTTTTATAATCATTTTTCCTATAAATTGTTAATTTTCATATTTAGCCAATCATATAGTTATATGAAGTGGGATTTGACGTGCATATTGGAAATATGGTTTGTTTTGTATGATTGGCTTGATATGATGTGGTGAGGGCTAGTGGTGGACCGTTAACCCATTGTCATGGGGTTTGTTGTTTTGAAACATGTGTCAATGCTCGTTTCATTATTTCATATCTTGTTTCGTTGAGCCTTTATAACTGGAGTAACTTGTGTCATGTGTTGTTTCATTGGTTGGTGGTTATGCAATGTACTTCGTGATTCCGTTGAGTGATGGTCCGGAATCGTATCTTGGTTTTGGTTCCGTTGAGTGATGGTCCGGAATCCTTCTTACTCCACTCCGCGATTCCGTTGAGTGATGGTCAGGAATCGTATCTTGGTTTGGGTTCCGTTGAGTGATGGTCCGGAATCCCTCTTACTCCGTGATCCCGTTGAGTGATGGTCCGGGATTGTATCCACCTTAGTTCATTGAGTTTAGTTTGAGATGGTTGCAAAGGTGTAGGCTTTGGATGAACAGTGTTGCCCTAATTCTACTTTCATTGTGTGTATGTGAATATGGGTGTGAGATGTTATGGTTGTTTGGGATGAACTTTTGGATGTCTGGGTGCCTCCCTTGGAGTTTTCAAAAGTTTGGTATTGATTTCCTATGAAAGATTTATATTCAAGGTTTATAAATTATGATTGATGGCTGGTTTTATTATTGTATCACATGCTTATTTTATTGTCCCTCACCCGAGCCTCTCCGCTTATCTGAGTGCCTGAATTACCAGTGCACCAATTCTATAATATTGGCATTGACTTTACATATGACAGGTTTGGGTAGATTATGAGAAACCGTTTGATATTTTGGTTCTGTTGAGTGGTCCAGAACCCAATGTTGTTGGATTCCGTTGAGTGGTCCGGAATCCTTGCTCTTGTTCATTCCGTAAGGCGATTTAGAATCCTAAATTCGAGTAGATGGGAATTACCCACAATAGATATTGTGAAAATAAATTAGAATTACCATGTTATTATTCTTAACCCAAATTGGGAATTATGTAGAGTTCTTTAATTAAATTCGTGAAATGATATGTTATCTCACTGATTGATTAACGTAATTAAATGTTAATATTGTACTTCGTAATTCCTTGATATGTTACAAGCTATGTATTGAAATATAATGTTGGAAGTATAGTGATTAGTATGATGAAGTGAAATGTGATGTAACTTGGGTATTGGAAATGGTTATGACACATGATTGTAATGCATATTGAATTGCTTGGGAGATGTGAGGTCTAGTAAATGACCGATGACCCATTGTGATGTGGATTTTACTCAAATATTGCTTCGTTTCGTTGAGTTTCGTGAATTGGGTAACTTGAATCATGTCTTGTTCCTTCAAGCCGTTGTTATGTTTCTTGGACTTCCGTTCAATTCGGTTGGGTGGATTGGAACTGAGTTCTGTTTGGATTCTGTTGAGTGATGGTCCGGAATCCCCTTTGGAGCCTTGGTCCGTTGGGTGGTCCAAATCCCCTTTTTCAAAGATGTAGTCTTCAACTGAAATGTGTTGCTCTGGCCTTGCGTTTTGACTTGTTGTATGTGTTATTGAAGATGTGATGGTTGACATTATTGATTGATGTGATTGTGGAATGACGTTGGATATGAGTGGAGTTATCATGAGTATTTTAGTTGATTAATGTTTCTAGAGATTAATATGTTCTTTGTTAATCCTTAAATACGTTATTCGCTATGAAATGCGAATTTATGTGGGAAACGTGAGGAATTTATGTGGGGGTTGAAGATGATATGTTAATCGTCATGTGGGATTGTTATGTTGGATATTATGGTTATTGTTATGACTAGACTTGTTGATAAATGTGGCTAGAGAATGGTATTATACATCGTTGGTTCTTTGAAATGATATATGTTGTGAATTGCGGTATCATGTTATGACATAATGGCCTATATATTGATGGAGGGGAAATCATGATTTTCAGATGGGTTGTTATGTAACCCTGAGTCTAGTATTTTCATGCTTGTCAAGTTCTATTGATTGATTGAGAAATGTTATACCTTTCGACTTAATCGGACTGTGTTATATGTCAACTATTGTGCATGACGAACTACGAATGGCTTGATCCCTGTTTAGGGTACGTAGGCAGTCTAACGGGGAGGTTAGATGCAGCCATAAAGCATACGAAAATAACTATGTGATTCGATTTTGAGTTGTGCTTGCCCATATCCTGGAGGTGGGATAGGATAGATACGGATTTTTGGTGACGTCACGTGTCAATTCGGGACGTATGTCGGGATTGGGGCGTGACAACTGTTCTCTCCCTCATCTTCTTCCTCAAAGTTGGTTGTCGTCCACTAAGTTCTGCCATCCTCTTTCTGGTAAGTTCCGATTCCCTTTCACCTCTTCTTCCATAGCGATTACTTTTCGTTTTTTCAGATTATATTTTTCGTCTAATTTTCTCAGTTTTTGCTTGAGCTTGGTTTGAGGTGGTACTCTTCGAATGAGCTTCGAATTAATTTGGAATTAGTTGATTTGTGTTTGATGATTTCGATTGCAATTGTGCTTTTGTTGTGCAAATGGTGCTTTCTATGTGTGATTGTGCTTTTGTTCTCTTCATTCGCAAGTTAGATAGAGAGAGATCTTCCCACTTCTCCATCCCATCACACACTCGATTGTGCTTTTGCTGTTAAAGATCACAATAAGCATTGAGAATCAGGTTACTCGGTTTCAGGTCGCGGTGCAAAACATTTGCACAGTGTATGTACTTCAATCCCCACAGATATATATATATATATATATATATAATGTTTGTAATTTTGGGTAAAAGATGTGTAATTTGTATTGGAATGCAAAATGTTACAAAAAAAAAAAATGTTAACGGGTGAAACGGGTGACTTATTAAGCTTAATGTGTTGGGTTCAGGTGACCTGTTAGCTTAACGAGTTGGGTTTGAATGACCCATTAAATTAATAGGTCGGATTGAACCGACCCAAACCTAATAAACCCAACCCGTTTACAGATCTAACTATAAGGTGGCTCCGCCCATGGGCTGAACATCTTTGTTGTGAATCTTTTAGCAAGATATGACCTACACCTACACGCGGACATTGAAAAGGTGTTTAAGATATGCTACGTTATCTTAATTGTACTGTGGATTTGTTTTTGTTCTATCCTTACTCAACCACGAGTAAAGTTGCCATCCCCTAAGTCATCATATGGTTCTTGCCCCTCTCTCTCTCCTATCCTCACTCTCTAACCTTCAACACATTTTTATTTTTTATTTCTCAAAAATGAAGATTTGTCACAAGGGTAAAATTGGAATTTAAAATGTGCAAAAAATTGTTGGGTCTGGGCTTTGGAGAACTGATAAACTCCATCAATAGCCTCGGCCCAGCCCAAAAAGAAAAGTAGAACGTTCGAGCGTGAGTGAGTCAGCCCTAATATTGACTCTAATTTTCTCCCCAATAGTGCAAGAGTTAAAAGTCTCTTTCAAGCCGCAACCGGACTTCCTCTGAGATTTCCCCTCACCTTATCTGCCATTGAAGCTCTGCCCCCAAATCTTCAGCAAAGCTTTGTTCATCCACTGTAAGTCCTTATCTCTCTCTCTCTCTCTCTCGTCATATGCATATGTTTCAATTCGTTTTCTGTTTAGAGTTTCGTCACGAATTGAATCGAATCTCATATATATATATGTATGTATGCTAGCCAATTTTGCAAATTTTCTCGCTTTCGCTTAGGGTTTTTATTGCAAGACTCATATAAGCTGTGAAAGATTTTGTAAATCGGAGAATATGTTTCATGATGATTTTCTGACGAATAGGAAGGCGAGCTCTTGGCCGGATTTTCTTACCGTTTCTCCAAAACGGAACATGGATTTTATTTTTTTTGATGACCCGAATTTTTTATATTGCTGTGAAATTGGGTATTTTAATTTTAGCCTGTTCTGTTAGTTCTCTTACGGTAAGATCTTTTTGTGTACGTTTTCAATGCAGATTCTTGTGATTCTTCTCTGACTTGTTGCGGTTTTCTTGTACGAAAGGATGGCATCTCGATTCTGGACTCAGGTATTTACTTTAATTTTTTGATATAATTAGGGTTTTGTTTATAATTACTGGTTTGTGTGTTGCGGTAAAATATTGAGCGTAGTGTTTCCTAAACCTAATTTGTTGTATTTCTGTTTTTTTTTTTTTTTTTTTTTTTGTGTGTGTTAAATTAGCCTGGTAGCGATTCTGAGGATGAGGAAAGTGACTATGAAGAGGAGGTTGAACCTACGGGTGGTGAGACTACCACCGAACCCGGCCTAAACCCTTACCTTCAGGCTAATGCAAGTGATAGCGAAGATTCTGATGACCAGAAGCGCGTTGTTAGATCAGCGAAAGATAAGCGCTTTGATGAATTGTCTGCGACTGTACATCAAATGAAGAATGCGATGAATATAAATGACTGGGTTAGCTTGCAAGAGAGCTTTGACAAGATAAATAAGCAGCTTGAGAAGGTCATGCGTGTTACCGAGGCTGTAAAAGTACCTACTCTCTACATAAAAGCTCTTGTATTGTTAGAAGACTTTCTGGCTCAGGCTTTGGCAAACAAGGATGCTAAGAAGAAGATGAGTAGTAGCAATGCCAAGGCCTTGAACTCAATGAAACAGAAACTGAAGAAGAACAATAAGCAATACGAGGACTTAATTAATAAATATAGGGAGAATCCTGAGCAGAGTGAAGATGATAAGCCTCCAGAAGAGGAAACGGATGATGACGATGATTCTGAAATTGAGGATCCTACTGATATTGCATTGTCAGGTAGCGAAGAACCAGAGGAAGAAGAAGAAGAAGAGGAAGAACCAACTGAAGCTGGTTGGCAGAAGAAGATGAGTAAGAAAGATAAGCTCATGGATAAGCAATTCAGTAAGGACCCTAGTGAAATCACGTGGGATACTGTTAACAAGAAATTTAAAGAGGTTGTGGCTGCTCGGGGCAGGAAGGGAACTGGAAGGTTTGAGCAGGTTGAGCAGCTTACCTTCTTGACAAAGGTTGCTAAGACCCCTGCACAGAAGCTGGAGATATTTTTCAGTGTTGTTTCTGCTCAGTTTGATGTGAATCCTGGTCTCAACGGGCACATGCCTATAAATGTGTGGAAGAAGTGTGTGCAGAATATGCACGTTATACTTGATATTCTTGTGAAGTATCCTAATATTACGGTGGATGACATGGTAGAGCCTGATGAGAATGAATCCCAGAAGGGACCAGATTATGATGGGACAATTAGGGTTTGGGGAAACTTGGTGGCCTTCTTGGAAAGGATAGATACTGAGTTCTTCAAGAGCTTGCAATGCATTGATCCCCACACTCGTGAGTACATTGAAAGACTCAGGGATGAGCCTATGTTTTTGGTTCTAGCTCAAAATGTTCAAGAGTATTTAGAACGGGTTGGAAATTACAAAGCTGCTGCTAAGGTAGCCCTAAGGCGGGTCGAACTTATCTATTATAAGCCACAAGAAGTTTATGATGCCATGCGAAAATTGGCAGAGCATACAGGAGAGAGTGATAATGGTGAAGAGCCTCGAGCAGCTGAGGAAAGTCGTGGTCCATCTTCATTTATTGTTGTTCCCGAGCTCGTTCCTCGAAAACCCACCTTCTCTGAGAGTAGCAGGACTATGATGGATATATTGGTTTCCCTCATATACAAGTATGGAGATGAGAGGACTAAAGCTCGTGCAATGCTTTGTGATATTTATCACCATGCTCTGCTGGATGAGTTTTCCACTTCCCGTGACTTGCTGCTTATGAGTCACCTGCAAGATAATGTTCAGCAGATGGACATTTCGACCCAGATACTTTATAACAGGGCCATGGCACAACTTGGTCTGTGTGCATTTCGTAATGGATTAATTACCGAAGCGCATAGCTGCCTTTCTGAACTATATTCTGGTGGAAGAGTAAAAGAGTTGCTTGCCCAAGGTGTATCACAAAGTAGATATCATGAGAAAACTCCAGAACAGGTGTGCAGTTGCCTCAGTTATTTTTTCCATGTGCTTATTCTTTTTATTATATCTTTGTGCGTATTATGCTTTAGGAAAAGGCTTTAGCACCCAACTCTTATCCCAAATTTTTATTCTTCCAAAGTCCCTCACTGGGAGCAAGGGCCCCATCATATAGTGGGACCAACCCTATGCAAGAATTAGGGAAAAAATTGGGGAAGAGCAAGGTCATATAGCATTATTCTATGTGATTTGAAGTCACTGTTTTGTTCATGAAAAGAAAATCCACAAGTTCAAAATTTTAGTGTTTCAGAACTAGCTGTTGGTTTCAATAACCAAATAAAATTTGCGTGAATCTTTTTTTAAAGTGATGGAAATGATTTATTATTTAAGAATTACGTTATCTGCAAAACCTATTATTTATGAATTACATAAATGATCTGATAAGCCATCTTAGTCGGGTTAAAGATCTGGAGACACTAGTTTCAAAAAAAAAATGCTATAAATGTTTTCTGCACCTTGCAATAGGATGTCGAAAGTTGGAACTGGGACTTGTTAGAGTTATATTATCCAATCATGAAAGATGTTTGTGAATATTTAAGACGTATTTAAACACTTTCATTTAGAATTTTTTTTTTTTTTTTTTTTTTTTGCCAAATATACTGATTCTGTGGAGTTATGAAATTCATGGTAATTTTAGCCCTGTAATACAATTCGGAAATTGCTGCGTGTGCTGCTGTTACTCTAATTTAAGTGTGGCATATCTTTAAGATTCTTGTTGAATTTGACACAACAAATTGGTCACTTTGAGCGAAATAGCTAGGGACAACAGATGATTCACATTTGGAAAAGCTAAAACTAGTAATAGAGTATGGTTTAGTCATCATGTCTTAGAAAATGGGGCCTAAGAAACAGTTAATTCATTTTTTTTTCCAGACCCTACAATATTACTGCTCCAAGTACACTTTGGTATCATCCCTCTATTCTATATAATTGTTTTATTTTTTTCCGTTTTCAGGAAAGGCTGGAGAGGAGACGACAAATGCCTTACCATATGCATATCAACCCTGAGCTCCTGGAGGCAGTGCATTTGATATGTGCTATGCTGCTGGAAGTGCCTAATATGGCTGCAAACACCCATGATGCGAAACGCAGATTGATCAGTAAGACATTCCGTCGGTTGCTTGAGGTGAGTGAGAAGCAAACATTCACCGGTCCCCCTGAAAATGTTAGGGACCATGTAATGGCAGCTTCCAGGGCCCTTGGCAAAGGTGACTGCCAGAAGGCCTTTGATGTCATCAATTCTCTTGATGTTTGGAAGCTCCTTAGGAACCGTGAGCATGTTCTTGAGATGCTCAAGGCTAAGATCAAGGAAGAAGCTCTCAGGACCTATCTTTTTACCTTCTCCTCATCCTATAAGACTCTGAGCTTGGAACAACTCAGCACGTTGTTTGACCTTACAGAGGCCCAGACACATAGCATTGTTAGCAAGATGATGATCAATGAAGAGCTCTTTGCGAGTTGGGACCAGCCAACACGTTGCATTGTTTTCCATGACATTGAGCAGACTAGGCTGCAGGCTCTAGCGTTCCAGTTGACTGAGAAGTTGGCAATCCTTGCCGAAAGTAATGAAAGGGCAACAGAAGCAAGAATAGGTGGTGGTGGTGGGTTAGATCTACCTCAAAGGCGGAGAGACAACCAGGACTATGGTGCGGGATCAGTTGCTGGGAGTGGCGGTAGATGGCAAGATAACATGTCCTTCAATCAAAGGCAAGGTGGTGGCGCTGGGCGTACAGGATACAACGCTGGAGGGAGACCATTCAACCAAAATGCTGGAGGTGGGTATAACAGGGACCGCACGGGTCAATACAGAGGGACAGGGCAAAACACCCGTTATCAAGATGGTGCATATGCAGGATCAGGGAGGTCCGCAAGGGGTTCTCAGGATACTTCAACTCGCATGGTCAGTCTAAATAGAGGACTTCACGCCTAAACATCAAGAAAAAGAAGTATAATTATTCAGCAGCATTTTGATTAGAGCGCTTTCTGTTTCGTTTCTGTTCTCGATTAAGTTCTCTCTTTGTAAACCAAGTCTTTGATCGTTTGGATTTACGTATTTGGAGGCTTAAATTTGTACTTTTAAACTTTGAGAGGTGGGGTTTTGTATGCTAAAATACTATGGTTATCAAATCATGCAAGGTTTTTCTTTGTATTTTGTTTCATAAGTTGGCTGGTAAGGCAATCCATGTTTTTATATTTATGCTTGATCTTGCCCGTCTTCAGGTTTTGTACTTAAAACACGTTTTAGGATGTTTGCTTTTAAGAAGGATAAAATTATACTTAAACCCACTCTCCATGCCACTTGGGAACACACCAATGCCGATTTTCGAGATCATAGTGATTTTCTCACTTCCGTTTTCTCCTCTGCACTTTTCCTTTTGTTTATGTCGATTAAATTCTACTTCGTTCAATCCAAAACTTAAAAAGACCAATAAAAACCAAAATAGCCATTTTGAGAAAATTGTCTAGCTCATTATACAACGAAGCACCAAACACATGAATGGAGAAGGATAAAATTTGAGTTGTGGATGGAACTAATTTCCTTAAGCCTAGGGTTGCCCACGGATAGGTTCGAAAACTATTTCCAAGAGCATAGGTTATTTACGATTCAGAACTAGTTTGATATTGTTGTATTTTAAAATAAATAAATAAATAAAACTACTTATACTATTTTGTTAAAATAAAAAGATGCGAGATAAAGCAATTGCCCAACTTTAGCTGGCGGTGTAGGAAATCATAAAGAAGAGTTCAAATCTCTTATGCCCAACTTTCCTCTGCCAACTCTGCGGCAGGTCCAATTTTTTGGATGACACATTCCTTCCAGTAACTTCAACGTAACACTGTTTTTATCGACATTAAGGGGGTAAGAAATGGGTTAAATCTCATAATGAATTAGCAATTATGTGGTTCAAATTTGTATTTGATGAGAATCGAACCTTAAACCTCTTATTTACAAGTGAAGAGGAATACCACTAGAACTTCTTCATAACACTATTAACTTTTAATTTAAAAAAAAAAAAAACCCCCTTAACACAAACAACAGAAAAACGCGGCGACACCAACACTTTCATTACCAATAGGGTAATGCTAGGAAAATCAAATTTTTTTAGAGAGTAATGCTAGGGAGACTAAATTTGTAGACTAAATTTTCGAAACTAAATGACAGGGAAATTGATGATTGGTTTATTACTTAAGGGTTGATAAATGTGTTTTCTATTGGTGACATATCATTTAGTTTGCAAATTTTGTCTTCCTAGCATTACGCAACTTTTTTAAATCAAATTTGCAAATCAAATGATATGGTCGTAGATGATTGGATTATTAACTAAGTGTCGACTAACATGTTTTTTTTATTAGTAATACATTATTTAATTTATAAATTCAATTTTAAAAATTTGGTTCCCTGAAAATATTATTAGCTTCCACTTCCACACTTCAAACTAAATACATAGCGACTGGCTAATTCATAGCATTTATTATTAAATGCTAGATACTATGGTTACCGAAGCGTGCAAGCTTTTTCTTTGTACTTTGTTTAATATATTTTTTTTGGTCGAATGTTCTTTGTTTAATAAGTTGCCTTGTATTGTTAAAAAAAAAATAAAAAATTGCCTTGTAATGTTAGTGGAGGAGTTAAAAGTGACTTGTGTTTTTGTCATTTCCAACAATTTGTTTTTATATTTATGCTTTATCTTCTTAGTGAATTTAACAACTAAAATTCAGATTCATCCATTTAAAAAGTGCATTTGTATGTAAGGATATACGCAATAATTACATTATGTAAAAAAAAAAAAAAAAAATTAATTCTCTTCTCATGCCAATAAGATAATGTTTTTTTTTATTATAATCGGAGTCTGGACTCCAATTATTAGTATGTTAGGCAAAATACTTTTATCTACTCGAAAAACAAACTCCTTGTTACGAAATGAGATTTGTGTTATTTTTTAAGATGAACTTAGTTACAATATATTCATGTACTTGGCCGAATCACCCAATTAACTCATCTATATTGTAATGACACCCATCAATCATATTTAAGCATTAATACGCGATTGTACTAAATACATACATTCCATATATTGTAGCCAGCCCTCAATTTGACATTAAAGGTAAAAAAAAATCCTATGTGGACTGTGCCTATCCGTATTGGAAGAGCATTTCCTATCAACATATGTCCATTATGACCTTGGCAACATTGAGGTAACTTAATCGACCCCAAAAATGAAAAGGTATGATCTACGTACCTAGCCTCGTGCGGTTGATCGAATGAAAACTCAATCGATCAAAACTCAAGTCCCTTTATGCAAAAAAGGGTACTTGATAAGACATTTTTTTGTTGTAATATGTACTTATCATTCTTCTCACGGTATGTGGTTGTAGAAATATTCATGAAGTTTTCATTTTTGGGGTGTTTTATGTACTAATTGTGTTATATTATGGTGCGATTTCACAACTATTTTTTGGTAAATAAACACATTTAATATGCTACTATACTTCTATGTATAAAAGTATCTTCATCAGTTGGTGGAGAATAATGACAATTAGCGCAATAAAATTACCTTTACTTTTCACTCTAAACAATAATTTCTTTGTGCAAGGCTAGCAGTTCGGAAGGAAGAAGGGCAAAAACAAGTGATTACTATTCACAAATATGTTTTTCAAATTTTAAAATTTTTATTTATTTTTTAATATATGATTGGGTATTTGTAAAAAAAAAAAAATTAGGTTTTTTTATTGTTTTTATTTTTATTTTTTACTTTTAGAACAATCTTGAACGTTGATAAGAATGCAAGTGAAAGAATAAAATATATAAATTCAATAATATATTTATAACCTTTTGTCCATCAAGTTAACATTTGAAAGTCCAACTATAAAACATAAGGATCTTTTTAGCGAGATTACGAGAATTCGTAAATCGTGTGCATTCGTCACACATCGTTCGATTAGTTTTTATTAAGAATTGTTTATGTTTAATTTTAAATAAAAATATCTAAAATAGTTTTTGATAACATTATGTACAATAAACGTATAAAATTGACGGAATTTAGGAATCTTCGTAAAGAGGATCCGGATTCAAAACATAATAGGAATGGAGCCATTTGGCTGTGGTCCTTCACGTGGGGTGGGCCCCCTCCATGTCTGATGCTTCTCCACGCGGGCTCATGCCTTTGCAAGAACTGGGGGGGGAAGCTGCCGACAAAACACTTGCCTGCCCTGCGATTACGTTCCATATTTTCAATATTTCACTGCTGGAGCTGATTTGTCTGGGCAAAAGACAATTCAACCAAAGTGCCTTTTGTAATTGGGTGACTACCGAAGATGTTCTGAGCATTCAAAAATTCAAATGCTTATTGCATCTCGTTTGTACACGTATTTTCATTTTTGGTCAGCCGCAAAATGGTCATTACAAGTAGATCTTAGAGAATTGAATGACTAATTTCAAGGCAATAAGTGTACTTCACGAACTTCGTTGAAAATTGAGCTCAATTAGAAATGCAAAATCACGAAGATCAATAAATTACTAAATCTCGTGTTATACAAAAATTATGAAAAGAGATTCAACTGTTCAACATACCAACATAAAAAACTAAAAATACAAAAACTCTCGTAGAAGGAGAAATCAAATCATCAAACTCCTATCGTGTTTCTAGAAATTACCTAAACTATATATTAATAAAACTCTTTTTGTTAACCAGAACTCCATCAAATTATCATTCTAATTCTCTCACTAGAACTGAACATAAATGTAAAGATAATATATCCTATTTAAAATTAAAATATAAATAAATAAACCTCACTTTTCTACTCCTCTACCTCTTTCTAAATTCTTCATGCTCTCGTATCTTTTTATTTTTTGAGTTATCATTTGTACTCATTAATAATTAAGTCGTAGTAAAATAAAAAGAAAAAAATATTACCACCGCTCCACATCCTCCCAACATCGAGAAAGGAGCCATATTACCACCTTTCCTTTTTGAGAAATTATTATTTTTTTCTTGGGGCAATGGAGAAAGATTTCTTTTATTTATTTAAATTTGGTAATCTGAAAGTCCGATCACAATTGGTGGCAAGTGACCCGAAAAAGTCAGTAGCAAGTGGAGCTTTTCTTTTAGAGCAATCGCCGGCGAATTTCAAGTTGAAAAACCATGACCGCAAACCTCCGATGCGTGGTCGTGGCCGTTGATGGCAGCGAGGAGAGCATGAACGCCTTGACCTGGGCCCTTGACAACCTCAAGCTCCGATCCTCTGCACCCGACTCCACCACCTCCGCCGGTCACTTCGTCGTCCTCCACGTCCAGTCTCCGCCCTCTATCGCAGCCGGCCTCAGTCCCCCGGCCATTCCCTTCGGTGGTCCCAGTTAAGTCTCTTGTCCCCACCGCCACCGCCGTCCACCGTTTTCATTAGTTAATTCATTTCAAATGACCAATTAATAATTCTGTTACATTTCTGGGATTTTCTGGCCTGATATTAATGAATTGGATCTGGATAAATTGGTTTAGGCGATTTGGAGGTGCCGGCGTTCACGGCGGCGATCGAGGCGCACCAGAGGCGGATTACGGAGGTCATAATTGAACACGCTTTGAAAATTTGCTCCGAAAAGAAGGTTAGGGTTTATTTAGGGTTTAAAGCCTCTTGCCTTACTGATAAGTTTTTTAAGACCAGGTTTAATTTGAGGATTTGATTTTCATAGTTTTTATTGTATGAAAGTATATTTTCATGGTTTTGCTGGGAATAGGTCAATGTGAAAACCCAAGTGGTTGTTGGGGATCCTAAGGAGAAAATTGGTGAAGCTGTTGAGAATTTGCATGCTGATTTGCTTGTCATGGGGTCCAGGGCTTTTGGCCCAATTAAAAGGTGACTTTTTTCGTTTCTATTTGTTGATAGGACTGATAAAACTACTAACCGACACGAGAAATTTTGGAGATTTCAATGCGTGCATTAGTACCACCATGTGGCAGTGTGATAGTCATACAGAAAAATTTTCTCCAATGACATACATTGGGACCAGTTTAATTTCATTGGAGGAATGTACTTATTTTTGAGCATCCAAATAGGAAATATCTTATCTGAAGTTCTTACATTTGCGTAAGTAAACATGTTTGTGAACTTATTCGAGCTAAGAATACTGCTGAGGTCTTTGAGAACCATAGGCAATTGCGTACAAGCTGATTAGCTGAGGAAGGGTCATAGAATGCGCCTGTGAGTACCTTCTTGAAGCAAGTTGATGAGCCCTCTTTATGAGATGTATATGCATGGCATTTGACTATGTCAGCAACCTTGTGTTTCCATGCTTCTGTCATCTGTCCAATGGACTGTCTCTTTAGTGTTTATAGCCCTATAGTGCTACCAACACATTTTCCTTCTAGAGCTGCTAGTTTTGTGTGGGAGGAGCATGACGTGGTCACAGTAGGCATGGACTTGAGGGATAGTCATTTACTACATCTGTTTGTTTTTCTGTTTCTCAAATGGGTTGTGTAAAATTGTCGATATTTTAAAGCCCAGGAGAAGTAAATGTTTCTTGAATGCAACCTGTGATGCAAGCCCGTTCCCTGTGTCTTTGTTTCTATTGGATTCTATCTCATCGTATCACATTTTGTTCTGTGATATTTGAGAATCACCATCAATACCTCTTGTAGGTCCGGGATAATCATTTGAAAAGCCCTCTCACATTCAAGTTTCAATGCCTCACATGCCAGTTATGTGAATAGTTTTATTGGAGGGAGTTTGTACACAACAGTTGTATGCTAGGATTTTTCCATGTGAAGACACAAAACTGATAAGTCTTTGTGATACCGTGTGGCAAAATTATTAGTCTTAATGTTTCAAAATTTGTTGGGAGCAAGAAATTGAAGTTTCCTGTTGTATTTTGATAAAAGCAAACTTATGTGCGAGGAGGATTTGACTTCATGTTTTAGCTTTATATATCTGTACTTGGTCTTACATCTTTTGTTTCTCGATGGGAGTGAGGGTAGGGCTGTAGCCTGTAGAGGCGAGGTGATAGAACTCAGGAAGGCTACCTTTGAATTATTTCCTTTGTTTTAAAGAGTAACTTCAACTAATTAGACCAGAACCATGATTAAACATAACAAGATTTACATTGTGCACTCTGTATACAGGATGTTTCTGGGAAGTGTAAGCAACTTCTGTGCGAACCATGTGCAATGCCCAGTCCTCATTGTTAAGGCCCAGACTGTTACCTGATAAGGAAAGGTATGCATCTCATTAATCTATCACCCATCTACAGCAGCATTTCCATTCTCATTTTTCTTTCTTGCGATTTTCTTTCTAACTTTTATTGCTCTTTAATGTTTTGTTATTTATTTTTATGATCTATATTATGATTCACTTCTCTTCAGAGCTCTCCATGCTTTTGTGCAACGTAATATTGACCTTTCCTCATATCAATCAAATGACTCTATCTGACTCAGACTTAGATTTGTTTTGCCAAACATACCCTGATGGTGCATGTTATCTGATTTAAATGATATATTCTTGCATTTCAACTTCAGGACATGGTTGAGTTACCTAGCTGAGGTTTGTTGTAAGCATTCTAATTGGAAAATCCCACACAGAAGAAAATCCATTTGAAGTGGATGGTTTTGAAAGGGTTGACAGATTTTCTAGTTTGGGACCTGTGAGCTAAATTGTCATATAGATCCTACCTGCATATTTCATTTTGGACAAAACTGAGTCATGTTAGAACCTTTGCTCTGCTAAGCTACTAGCGTATCATGCGTTCAACGTCACTTTGCATCAAGATAGGAGGTTGATGATTATCTGGGTTGATGATTATGTAGCTAATTTAGTTTAAGATGATTACTCTTTGCATCAAGATAGGAGGTTGACGTACTGGTTGGAGTAGTAATTACAGGATAAATGGCACTTTCATCATTCATGATGTCTCAGTTGTGGCACTGGGAAATATCAATGATGAATCTTAGAGTGAGTTATCTATGGATGATGAATGACGATAGTAAATTGTTGTGGATGTCATCTTTCCATGCTGGTCTATGGTTATGTTGACTTTCAATAAGGTGAGATAGAAGTTGGCTGGTTTAAGCTATATTTATTTGGAGGCTGCGATGGCTAAATGCATAGACGTGCTTATTTTCTCTAATGAGATGATGCTTATCCCTTATGGGCCAGTTATTGGTTCATGAATACTAGTTCATAACCTGAGGTATTAAAAGGAAAACTAAGCTAAATGCTGATCTGATTTGCATTGCTTAACAAAAGTGTTCATGTAGAAAAATCAAAGAAGTTTGATGTGAGGTTGGTTTGCTTGAGTATTGGCTGCCTACCAAATTTGATATTTTCGTTTCATATTTCCTTTTATATTCATAAGTTGGTGATATATTGAAGAACCGTGGCTCATTTTCTTTTATATTCATATGTTCATGATATACTGAAGAACCGTGGCTCACGTATAGCTCCATTTCTCCCATACTAATCTTTCTTTCATGCGACCATTGTATCATTGTCAATATTTTCGTTTTGTTTTGTTTTGATGACCAAATCACGTTGATATAGTGAAAAAGTGCCCAGCCGCTTTGCTTGCAACCAGCTGTTACAATTCCATAAATTTTTCATTCATTATGCAGTAAGCACCGTAGTTATGCTGTTTGATGTCATACCTCAGCTGTTGACTTAGCATCCTTATTTTCGAAATTATAGGTGGCTTTGATCGATCAGTGCTTTATCTTCAGACTTGAGTGCATCTGCCCTCGTGTGAAAGCTCATCAAGATCAACTGTAAATGTGGAATGTTTCTGCAATGCTCGACCAATACGTTGCTGTGTGACCAACTGTTTTGAACCCACTTTTCAAGCCCTGTGAATATTTGGAGGAAATTACAGTAAGATGTGTAGTCTTCTTCTGCTGGAGAATGTTAAATGAGTAGTGTATAGCGGTAATAAGGTAGAAGTAATGATACGGTTATGTTACCAATTGTCCTTGACCATCTCTCATTGGCTGTTATTTTCCTCATGTCTGCATTGTGTATTGATGAAATCATAACCGTCCCTGACCATCTTTCATTTTGATTATTATGGCCTAAAAAAGTTGTTTTCCTCGTCTGCATTGTGTATTGACGAAAGCATAACAGAATTACTGAATACTTTTGAATTGTTGGAAGCTTGTCAATAATCCGTGCAGTAACACGACATTAAATTCAAGGGAGGTTTAACAAAACACTCATGGTACTGTTCATTTTTAACAAAAAATCACATTTAGACCTTTTCTTGGTACTATTCATTATACCTTTAAAAAGGGTTTTTTATTAAAAGAGAAGTTTGTTTGAATTTTTCGCAAGGGAAGAAAAAAAAAAAAAAAAAAAAGAACAAAGTTTCTGCGTCTCTTTGTAGATTTGTATCCCCCTTTTTACTAGGGATGCATTCTTTCAATCATGGCCATAAAATTGAACCTACATATGGTGATCACAAAAGTTAATCCACGAATTTTCTAGTATGCACTGGTGTGTACTCATTTATCGATATTTATAACGTTAAACTTTGTTAGATCTTTAGGTGCACATCTAACTCTCCATTCTTCTGATTAATATCATATGCCAGAGTACAGTAAAAGAATTTAATCACATCATTTCACAATTCATGATTGATATCATGAGTGAAGTAAAAGTGCCACACTGGCAGCCTGCATGCAACCTTGGCTGCCTTCTGTGGCTGTTTGTAGATAAGTAATACACTAGGGTCACGTGAGCGAGTACTTACGAAACTTATGATTGACTCGAGCATCTTCTAAAATAATATCCGCATCAATGCATTTGTTATTATTTGGATGGTATTTGTAGCATCTCAGTGGCAATTTTGGTCCACCACCATAATATAAGTGGAATGTTGTGGTTTTGGAGCATATTCGCAATTTTATCTTCTGTTTTTTTTTTTGGGTTTCGGCTCCTAAAGCAAGCAATCGTTGTGACATGCAAGCAATTAAGCTGAACAATGTAATCTCGTGAGCATGGTGGGCTAATGTGCAACACCCACCAAACTTAAAGAAAGAGCTTTGTTTCCTTCGTTTGTAGCCTTTGCGATTATTGTGAGATTCTTTATGGAACTCGCAATCAATTAAGTATAACTTAGATGTAATCTGCTCTTTAATATTCCTGTCTCATTTTTCATGCTATTGAAATGAGGGGTGAGATAGGAACATTGTTGGTGTATTTTTGACAATTCTGATTTTTTTTCCTTTGTTCATACTCGATATTGAAATAATGTCAATTGTGAGTGCACGATCGTTAACATAAAACTATTGATGTTTTTGAGCCACAAATGAGCATTGATCAACGATTGTGATAGCATGATTAGCATCACGTGCCAACTTGCGACTGATGCTAACACAATTCATTACCTATATATCTAGGGGTTAGGATTTAGGATGTACGCTTTTGATACATATTTTGACACTTATTTTGTAGGACTCACTTCGTAATGTATTTTAACGATCTAAACCGTCTATATTTTAATACACCATTTATTGATCATTCCTTTAAAAAAATTAGACAAATCCAAAACCATTAAAACATTGAGTTGTAGTGAAGAAAACAGACTAATATGGTTATGCAAAGAAACACTAAATTTAATACAACGATCATATGATTTCAGATTTAAATAATTTTTGGTAGACATGATCTTTAAAGTAAAACATAAAAGATAAACGATTGAAACGTTGAAATATATTACAGAATAAGCCCTACAAAATATATGTATGTGTCCTCGAATCCTAATTCCCATCTGGCTTATGGTTGTGCTTAGTGGAGCCGGGCCATGGCGAAAAGTCTTCTTAACCCGTGACCGACCGCATCCCGAGATGGGCCCAAGTAAGGACAATAAGCAAGGATACTGCTGTCATTCACTGCAATTATCCAAACCCTCCAATGGTGTCTTCTTATATCCACCCCACACTTAAAAAAGTAAAATCATACGATTTGAATCGCTAATGAGCTGGATGTCAAAATGGGTTCATAGATATCATGACTTCATTGCCAGATGAAGTAGATCAAGAATTGATTAGTGAAAAGTTTACAGAAATTGCACTAGATCTAAAGTGAGCATAAGACGAGCTGTAAACTCAAACGTTTTAAATTCAAAAGTTTACAGACTATAAAACATTCATATTTACCTAAGTACGGTTTCAGGTGATTGTATATAATCAAAATTTACTTTAACACCTCGAACCTCGGCTAGGTTTTCTTCATTTCCGAAAAAAGAAAATTAAGCTACATAGATGGTTAAATCATCAAGAACGCTAAAGTCTATCTTCCGTGCTTGATTTGATTAATGTAATTGCTCTCTTGTGCAGTACTAGAACACATGCTAGATCACACAATGCAATGCTTGAACTTCACTCAGTAATTTGACATTCACCCTTATTTCATTTGACAGATTTTGGGGCTGAATTTAAGGGTTTGAACTCTACTAAATAACGACATTCTTCTTTTGGTCCAGTCAGAGTCAGAGAGCTTGGCTGTTTTGGGATCCTCAACTGATCAGTTGTCACAAGCAGCACATCCTCCAACTTGATCCGTCCTTATTCTCACCAACGGTCCCCACAATTTTCACATGATTTTAGAGGATATAGCTTTTAAATTCCCAATAATTCTAAGGACGCATTGGCTACAATAATTTAACCCCCAACAACTTATATATACATATTGGTTCTCATAACCCTCCACCCGCACTACAAGCATTCTTTCTTTGCTCAGCTTAGAGTCCATATCTTGACTCCAAAGTCATGGACTTGAAGAATATTTCCCCATTTTTCTTCTTTGCCCTGTTAATCTCCATTGCCAAAGCCCTTGATCCTTCTTGTTCATCCCAATCTGACGGCTCAGATGACCTCTCAATCATTCCCACCTACAGCAAATGCTCTCCCTTCTCCCCACCCAAAACAGACTCTTTGTTCACCACTGTGCTCAACATGGCCTCCAAAGATCCAGCTAGGTTTAACTACTTGTCAAGCCTAGTTGCCCAAAAGACCACCTCCGCTCCGATCGCTTCGGGCCAGCAGGTCCTCAACATTGCCAACTACGTGGTCCGGCTCAAGATCGGTACCCCGGGTCAGCTCATGAACATGGTCCTAGACACTAGCAATGACATTGCTTGGGCTCCATGTTCGGGCTGCACAGGGTGCTCCTCTACCACTTTCTTACCCAACTCATCGAGCACATACGGGTCACTAGATTGCTCAGTGCCTGAATGTGCTCAGGCTCGCGGGCTCTCATGCTCCACCACTGGGTCTACTGCGGCCAACGGTTGCTTCTTTAACCAATCGTATGGTGGAGATTCATCATTTTCTGCCACCCTAGTACAAGATGCTTTGACACTAGGTAAAGATGTTATTCCCAAGTACTCTTTTGGTTGCATTAATTCCATCTCAGGTGGGTCGATCCCATCCCAAGGGCTATTGGGTCTAGGTCGCGGATCCATGTCATTACTCTCACAGACCGGGTCACTCTACTCCGGCGTGTTTTCGTATTGTTTACCAAGCTTCAAATCTTACTACTTTTCCGGGTCACTCAAGCTTGGACCGGCTGGCCAACCCAAGTCTATCCGGACCACCCCACTTCTAAGAAACCCCCGCCGGCCCTCACTGTACTATGTAAACCTGACCGGAATCAGTGTGGGCCGGGTTCTTGTACCCATTGCACCGGAGCTTCTAGCATTCAACCCAAACACCGGGGCCGGAACCATCATAGACTCGGGCACGGTCATAACCCGATTTGTGCAACCCGTCTACATGGCACTCCGGGACGAATTTAGAAAACAACTGAACGGACCATTTTCGTCATTAGGGGCCTTTGACACTTGTTTTTCTGCCACCAATGAAGTTGTGGCCCCAGCCATCACGTTGCAATTCACGGGGTTGAAGTTGACACTGCCAATGGAGAACAGCTTGATTCACAGCAGCTCGGGTTCTCTGGCTTGCTTGGCGATGGCGGCAGCTCCCAATAATGTGAACTCGGTGTTGAACGTGATAGCCAACTTGCAGCAGCAGAACCTTAGGATTTTGTTTGACGTTGCCAACTCTGTCGTTGGCATTGCTCGTGAGAGTTGTAATTAACGACTAGTTGTGTAGGGTTTCTGGTGTTCTGTCTCTTTGTGCTGTGTTTAAATTGTCGCAATGCAAAAGAACATCTATATTTATGTGTGTGTGTGTGTGTGTGTGTATAGGTGGTGACTTGTGACAAATAAAAAAGCAGGATAAGCCTGCTGGGTGTTGAATTTGGAGAAGGTGCCTGTATGCTATTAATATTAACTTTTTATGTATGTGGTAATTTTTGGAAAGAGAACTTTTGGAGCTTTTGATTCTGATTGTTACTTGGTGAGCTTTGAAGTGGACTAATATTGGATTTCACATAACAATAATAGTAGCCATTTAGGTTTAAAAAAACACAAGAATATAACAAGGTTTAGTAATTTTTGTTTACGTTCTAGTGGTTGCCTTGAAAAATTTCATTAGTAAAAAGAAGCAAATTTGGCTAAAAGAATTCCCTTACAAATTCTAGGTATTTCTTTGTCTACTCTAATCCTCTTGGAGTCTCCCTTGCAATTCTCGTTATGTTAATAATCTAAGTTACAATCGGAGTTGAAGTACGAAAAATAAATCCTTCAAAGTAATAAATAAAAACTCATTGCTTGTTTAAGTGCTGCGTGAACACACTTAAGACACTTGGAAAACCCTTTGAAACCATTGATGGCCGCCTGAACGCCTCATGCACTCGCTTAAGCACTCTGAACAACCTTAATATTGCTGCTGGTCGGCATGATCGCCCAAGCGATTGTGCACACCCTTAAGCGTCTGATATTGTCAAACACTTATTCTTCCAGATTTCAACTACAAACTTCGTCCCAATCTTTTGGTTAGCCAAAGCATTTATACATATAACAAAAACACGAGAGCTAGTGCAGCAGCCAGATATTTAAAGAGGATTTTTATAGCTAATGGCTTGCAACAAGTGATTGAGAGCATTTACTCTTGCAGTCGAGGTTCCATATTTAATCAAGATGTATCTCATTACTGCTTGTATATTAGAATATGTATACAAAACAAGCAATTGAACGTAACTAAATTTTTTAACCTCAAGAATAAGGAGTTGAGTAATTCAACAAAAATGCAGTCCCTTATGAGTCGCTTATGACCCATAGGCTAATTCTTGACAACCTTTTGGTTACTAAGGAGTTTTTCAAACTCTGAATCTTTAGCCTATCTGACCCACCACTCTACCGGCCCTCGTTACTGAGCTAACCCCAAAGTGGCTTACTACCAAAAACCTTTCTTTATCAACTGCAAGATAGAAGATATTTAACTCAAGAGGGTTGGTGAAACTAGAGAAATCAAATCGGCTCAAGATAAAACATAATAAAGTTAATAAGATGCATATATGATATTATTAGAGAACTTGAATTTAGACGCCTCATATATGAGCAAATTTTGAAATTTCTGTAAAATCATGATCCCAATTCATACACATCTGAGCAGCTTATAGCTCTGAATCATGACTATATGATACAAGTACCAAAAATCAATGAAGGAATTGGCCACAGCACACTCTATATGTATCTCCCTCTCTGTATTTATTTCTTTGTTTCGATTTTTTTATTTTATTTTATTTTTTATTAACAGAACACCCTCCAACTTTCCGTTGAAACCATTCCTCCTGTCACAAACGCTTCATCTTTTTCTTTTCATCGTCGTCACTTGATCTTGCAGACATCTTCTTCTTTTTCTTCATGACGACGAATTATATGAACTCCAAGCCCATACATACAAGTACACACCACACAACAAACGCAATCGAAAATAAGAAAAAATAAAAAATAAAAAAAACGACAGATTTTTGCTTGCTATATTTTTACCTCTCTCTCTCTCTCTCTCTCTCTCTCTGTGAACTCATGGAACTCCCTCTGCTCTCTCTCTCTATGCTTCGGAAACTTTTTTCAGTCTAACCCCACCATTGATGCACCGCAACACCTTCGTCCCGAAGCTGTCCGTACAATGCCAAGCACTGCCAGTATGCCCTGCGGCTCCTAATATTAATTTTCCCATTATGTCCCTGTGGCTTACACTCCAAGAAAAGCTCATCCACCAAGTGAATCGCTTTACTCTTTACCATGTCCTCCACCACCTCGGCCTCGGCCTTCATCACCACGTACTCCTCCTCCTTAACATTCTTGTTCAGCCACTCTGACATTCCGGTTTGAACCACCTCCTTACCGGAACTCTCCTCTGTCACAGTCTCAATCTTGTACATCTCAAAGTTCTTGTTCCGGGTAGGGTAGTTCTTAGTGAACCAGCTTGTCCCACTTCCGCCTTCCTTCTCCGGCAACCCTACATCAATAAAAACCCTCCTAGGGTAGCTCTCGAGCGAGTCACCCATCAAGTCCGGAAGGTACCTTGTTCGCTTTAAGTACCTCCTTGATTTCCCAGACGAGGCTCTCGGGGGTTCTAGAAGCACATCTTCTAGATTCTTCAGCGCCTCCTTCTTTGCCTCCCTAGCCAAGAGCCTTCTCCTTGTGGGAGAGGTGGTGGTAGAGGACGAAGTTTCGCTTGCACGGTTGCTGGTCTTCCTCATTGCAAAAATGGTTTTGTCAAATCGCCTCAGGTACACCATTTTGTAGTTGTCAGGCTTCTTGAAGATGTTGGAAGCGTCATTGCTGAGCTGAAGCACGACAATCCCACCAACTTTAAGAGTCCTTTCAACGAACTTTGAGGCTGCAGGGAAGGCAGAGACGAATGCAAAGTCGATTGAGTTTTCAGGGACTGAGCTTTGCATGTCGGAGTTAATGAGCTCGATCTCATTAATATCTTCGCTATTGAGGATCTGAGATGCTTTGACAGCTTCGTTGTCTCCGCTGCTTACGAAAATAGCTTTATGTGTGTCTTTCTTGTATAGGCCTTCGTTGGCCAAGTCACGGAAGATCAAAGGAAGGAGCTCCAGATTAACGACGTTGGATGAGCTAATTATTTTAGGCAGATAAGTGGTTGCTGTGGGAAGGAGTGAGTTCAACCATGGGAGCGAGACGATGCACAAAGCCAAGATTAAAGAACGAGCGACGAGGATCAAGGATCTAGAATCCGGAATTCGAATAACCAAGTACTTGGCATCTGGATACAATCCGATTGGAGCAGCATACTTCGGGTGGCGTTTGGCACGGAAACCTTGGACCAAATTGAACGCCATAGTCTCGAAAAAAAAATATTGAGTATTAATTCTGTGAGCAAAATTTGAGAATTTCTAGACTAATATTTCAGCTGGTGAAGACAGGTAAAAGATTTAATTGTGAGAAAAAAAAGAGAGCAGATGAATGATTGTTTTGGGACAGAGAGAGAGGGAGATTTAGCGCGGAAAGCCAAAAGAATTTAGCGAGTGCAAAACCGGGCGGCGGTGTGATTCCCACCCACGAGGGCCACACGAGCGCTTTGCATTCTAGACCATAATAACATCAACTGCCTCATCCTCTGCACCTCCATTTCTCTTGATTTTTCAACCCAGATCAGTGTGTTTAATGTGATTCTCCGCCAATTAATACACTTTACTTGCTCGCCATCATCATCACCATAATTTGTATGATGCATGTGTAAGTTAGCGATACATTGTGCGTGAAAACCACATCATACTCCGATCAGCGATTCATGGAGAGAGGCTGCAGAAAGAGAGGCGTTGTATTTCCTTTTTAACTTGGTCTAGAGGGAAATGATATTTACAATTGGGAGATGGGGGTATGTGGGGATGGGAGAGAGGAAGAATATATGGGATACTTTACAGATAGGTTTTGAAGGAGAGAGAGAGAAGGGAGAGGTCCTAAAAGATGGATGGAGCTAAATTTTGCTGTGAGAAAGAAATGGGCGGTGCAACGAGAATTTAGCTTGGCCATTGCTTCGTCCTTCATGCATATTCAGTTATGCATATATGCATGGAGTGTAATTTTTCTTATCAAACGGCTATAACTAAAGCGTAATTGGTTGTGACATACACAACGACTTTGGGGTGGCATATATGCATTGCTTCACTTAGAATCTTCGATATATATATGTTACATTTTCCCGACAATTTTTTGTGTGGGTTGTGAATCCCATCTAGCGAATGTACTATCGGAGTGTCTAATGTCTAACAGATAATTACCAAAACCATCATTCGTTTGGAAACAAAGAATACCGCTATTTGTACTATCTTAACTGATCATTAGTCATTTACTATATTATCTACGACAGGTACATATTTTCATACTAGATAAAGGGAGCTTTCAATTTAGGTGCCTCACACTCATATATGTTAGACACAACATCGATCTACAGCTTATAGAATTTTTATTCAACATTGATTTACAATTCAGATATCACATGTATTATAAGCCGTCATTTTCAGGGTAATAGTAGGTAAAACAAATTTTTTAAACAAATTTTTTTTAAAGTGTTATTAATAGAAAATAAGTACATTAATCAATATTTAACTAATATGTGTCTTACCAATTAATTATAAATTATCTATTAGTTATGATTCAGTATTAAATTTCATCAGAAATTCTTTTACAATTTTTTAAAGCAAGTTGATATTTTCTACTGCTTCTTAACCTACCTTTTTCTTCCCAAATCCACACAGGACTAGTACAAAAAACAGTTTGCGCAACGCAAATACCTTTGTCATGCAAAGTCAAAAAACGTTGCCTGAAAATTAGCTCAACGACATCTTCGTCGCGCGCAAACCGTAGCACAAAGTCTGTGAAAGCAGGGTTTGTGCGACGAAGAGATAACATGCATCGAGCAAAAGGCCTTTGAGCGACGACAACACTTGCGTCGTGCAAGAAGACTTTGCGCAACTATAGGAACCACGTCGCGCAAAGTCTTTTTTTTTTTTTTTTTTTTGGCAAAAATATTGTAATTAAATTATAAACAATAATTAATAAACCAAGTAAAAATATTCAATTATAAAATATATGAAAATGTACATATAATATGTTTGAACATAAAAGAAAAAACTACAAGAAGTAGTCCTCTAGGCTTGATGCATCAGGCTACTGGGTATCGGTTGGGCAAAGTGGCTAGAAGGTCAAGTGTTTGACTAGAAAAATACAAAAATTAAATTACAAAGGTTTCTAGTTGCAGTTTCTCTATCGGCAGATTGACTGTAAAGTTATCGAAAATCTTTAACCAAGCAAAAGTTTCGATAATATCTCTCCCATGGTGGATGCGTCACCTTCATTATCCATCTCCACGCCAGATTCCAGGACTGCAGCATCTAACATTAACTTCCTTTTCGCAATCTCGTAGACATTTTCATCAACTGTACCCTTAGTGACTAGCCTGTAAAAGACATGACAGGTTATAATCCTACAATTTTCCATTCAAGTTTATGACTCAAACCAATACCACATTATAAAAGCAGGGAAGAAGGGGTGGGGGGTAAACCTGAAAGGTGCTTCTCTCAGTTTGGTAAGTATATGGTAACAGACTTCACTTGACCGATGCGATAACAACAATCTTCTGCCTGTCGATCAATTTGCGGGTTGAAAACCATATCATGAATAACTACGGTATCAGCTCCAACCAAGTTCAAACCCTGGCCTCCAGCTCTTGTGGACAGCAAGCAAGCAACTATAGAAGTGTCATTATTGAATGTATCAACTATAGTCTGTCTTTCTGTCGCCTGAGTGCTAACATTCGGAAGATACGGGTTAACAGACGAGAAACACAACTTACAATAGATGAGGTAACAATTCAATTAACCACAATCAACAAGTGGAACTTGTTGGAAATTCAAATTAAAAGTCATGTGATCTGTCCATGTGATGCTAACCTTTCTTTACAGATTGTTTCCAGCAAAATATAATCATCATTGCTCCTTCATTATTCAGCCGAATGGTGATGAAAGACAGCAAGTGTGCTGCCATGTGATGTGCTAGCAAGAAGACAGCAGTGTGCTGCCATGTGCTAGTCGAATCTGTGTTATTTGCAGCTGGAAAGACAGCTGCTGTGTGCTAGCCGAATGTAGACAACCTGGAATACATTTGGTCTCTTCATTTTCACGTTCCCATGTGTTAAACACAACAGATATGCTGCTGTCTGTGTGCTGTCAATTGATGGTGTAAAGGTGTAGGTTGTGTTGTATTTAAGGAAGCCTCTCGTAAGGCTTTAGTGTATGAATCCCATCTGATTTGTCATTCAATTCTAGAAGTGTATTTGCAATCTGTTTTTTAATATCAAAGTGCCTTGTTTGCCAAAGCTTGTAGCTTCCCTCATTTCTCAATTTTTTGTCCAATTTTATTGAGAGTGAAAGTGAGAGGTGTGATAGAGTTTGTAAACTTATCACCCACATATTTTGGTATTGAGTTAGTAAACTTTTCAATACCAACAATTGGTATCAGAGCCAGAATACCATTCTGGCAGGTGCAGCAGTTATGGCATCCAACTTAGTGCAGCTCCAAGTTCCCACATTGAAGAAAGAAAATTATGAAAGATGGTGCATCCAATTCAAAGCATTGTTTGGATCACAAGAGCTATGGGAAGTTGTCAGTAATGGGTATGTTGTACCCACTACCGAGCAAGAAGTCACATATACTGCAGATCAAAGGAACACTCTCAAGGATTTATGAAAGAAGGACCAGAAGGCGTTGTATCTTCTTTATCAAGGATTAGAAGATTCAACGTTCGAGAATGTTGCAAAAGCAACAACGAGCAAGCAAGTATGGGACACACTCAGTACAATCTACAAAGGAGTAGATCGGGTCAAGAAAGTGAGATTACAGTCACTTCGAGCAGATTTTGAAACTGCTCACATGAATGAAGGAGAGAGCATCTCCGACTATCACTCAAGGCTCATTGTGATAGTAAATCAGATGAGGAGAAATGGCGAGAGACTCGATGAAGTACGAGTTGTGGAGAAGATACTCCGGTCACTCACATCTAAGTTTGAGCATGTGGTGACTGCCATTGAGGAATTCAAGGATTTGGAGGCGATGAACGCAAAGGAGCTACTAGGATCCCTCATAGTTCACGAGCAACGCATTCAGAAGAATGCAAGCCCCACAACGCTAGAGCAAGCTTTGCAGTCAAAGTTGAATATTGACAAACCAAATAAAGGTCGTGGGCAGTGGAACTCACGTCGTGTGAGTTCATCCAACCGTAGCCGAGGACGAGCCCGAGGAAGAGGTCGAGGCTATGCACAAAATCTAGGTCAGTCTCAGGAGTGGAGATCTACTCGAGGAAAGGCGCATATCCAGTGTCACAGTTGCAAGCAGTATGGACATTATGCAAATGAATGTTCATATAAAAATGGTGAGCATGTCAACATGGCAGAATCAAGTGGAAATGCTGGTGAAGAACTTACAGTCTTACTAGCACACCATGATATCAATAGCCAACAAGATGTCTGGTATTTAGACTCTTGTGCAAGCAACCACATGTGTGGAAAGAAAGAGTTTTTTGCCGAACTCAAAGATGGGCCTTATGGATCTGTGAGTCTTGGTGACTCCTCAAAGTTGCCAGTTGAAGGCAAAGGAAAGATCAAAATCATCCAGAAGGATGGTAAAGAATAATACATCTTCGATACCTACTACATACCAGGTATGAAGAGCAACATTTTGAGCATTGTTCAACTACTCCAGAAAGGGTATGTTGTACATATGGAGGATATGTTTCTCACTCTCAGGAATGCAAGAAGAAAGCTTATTGCACGTGTTCAAATGTCAAAAAACCGAATGTTCCCGTTGAAGTTGAACACAAAGATTGGGAGTTGCAACATCGGTGTAATGGAAGATGGGTCATGGAAATGGCATCTTCGGTATGGCCATCTTCATTTCAATGGCCTAAAGTTGCTGTCAAATGAAGGAATGGTTCATGGTCTACCCCAGATTGAAGCCACACGCCAAGTATGTGAAGGTTGTGTGCTTGGCAAGCAAGCACGACTATCATTCCCTGTTGGTGATACATGAAGAGCAAGGGCACCACTGCAGTTGGTGCACACAGATATATGTGGTCCATTGGATCCCATGTCTTATGGAGGTAATAGGTATTTTATTACTTTCATTGATGATTTTAGTAGGAAGACTTGGGTTTATTTTCTCAAGGAGAAGTCGGCTGCCCTAAAAATCTTCAAGGAGTTCAAGGCACTCACAGAGGCTGAAAGCAACCACAAGCTTGTGGCTGTGAGATCAGATAGAAGTGGAGAGTACACCTCCAATGCTTTCCAAGCATACTGCAAGGAGCAAGGAATTAGGCATCAACTAACTGCTGCTATACACCATAGCAAAATGGGATAGCCGAAAGAAAGAATCGAACCATCCTTGACATGACAAGGTCCATGCTTAAGGAAAAGAATTTGCCAAAAGAATTGTGGGCAGAAGCTGTAGCTTGTTCGATTTATTTGTTGAATCAATGTCCAACAAAGAGTGTCAAGAGGATGACACCACAAGAAGCTTGGAGTGGGTATAAGCCGAATGTTGCACACCTAAGAGTTTTTGGGTGTGTTGCATATGCTCAGGTTCCAGAAGCCAAGAGGAGAAAACTCGATGATCGAGGTGAAAAGTGTGTGTTTGTGGGATATAGTGAAGAGTCCAAGGCATACAAACTCTACAACCCACTAACTGGCAAATTAGTGGTTAGTAGAGATGTCATCTTCAATGAGGAAGAGCCATGGAAGTGGAACAACAAAGAAGTCAGTAAAGAGAAGATCGTTTCCACTGATTTTGAAGAACCAGAAGTTGTACCACCTGTTGAGCAACAACCTGCTCAAACAACCACAATAACTCCATTGCACAGAATTGCAAGGAGTGGTCCGACATCTAGTGAAGAAAGCAGCTCCTCAACTCCAGTAAGGCTAAGAAGTCTCACCGAGATATATGGACAAGAAGAAGAAGAAGAAACCAACCTTTTCTGCTTGTATGCAGACCACGAGCCTCTCTCATTCAATGAAGTTGTGGAAGAAGATCGTTGGAGAATAGCCATGGAGGAAGAAATCCATGCTATCGAGAAAAATGACACTTGGAAGTTGACAAAGCTTCCACCAAATCAGAAGGCTATTGGTGTCAAGTGGGTGTACAAGATCAAACGCACTGCAGATGAGAGTGTAGATCGGTACAAATCAAGGCTTATAGCAAAAGGCTACAAACAGAAGTATGGAGTGGACTATGATGAAGTCTATGCTCCAGTTGCAAGACTTGACACCGTAAGATTGCTAATCTCTCTTACCGCTCATCATAAATGGAAAATTTATCAACTAGATGTCAAGTCAGCCTTCCTTAATGGAGTTCTTGAGGAAGAAGTGTACGTGGAACAACTGGAAGGCTTCCAAGTACAAGGAGAAGAAGAAAAGGTGTATCGTTTGAAGAAGGCTTTGTATGGCCTCAAGCAAGCACCACGAGCTTGGAACTCAAGGATTGATAACTACCTTCACCAAAATGGATTTCAGAAATGTCCATACGAGCATTCAGTTTACATGAAGAATGGTGCAAAATGGGAGTTCTTAATTATTTGTCTCTATGTAGATGACTTGTTGTTTACAGGAAATAATGAAGCAATGTTCTGTGAGTTCAAGCAATCCATGTTCAGTGAATTCGAGATGACTGACAATGGATTAATGTCATACTTTCTTGGCATAGAGGTGAAGCAAGAAAGTGACGGTATCTACATCTCTCAACAAAAGTACATGAGAGATATATTGGAGAAATTCAATATGGATAAGTGCAATATTGTCAACACTCCAGTTGCAACTGGATTGAAGCTGTCCAAGGAAGGAGAAGGTGAGTTTGTAAACTCAACCGTGTACAAAAGCTTGGTTGGAAGTCTAAGGTACCTTACAATCACAAGACCTGATATAGTTTATGGTGTTGGACTCGTGAGTCGATACATGGAAACGCCAAGGGAGTCTTATTGGCTGGCTGCTAAGAGAATTTTGAGGTACATAAAAGGTACTCTAACCTATGGTCTGTTTTATAATTTTGGTGAAAATGCAAAATTATTTGGTTATTCAGATAGTGATTGGGGAGGTGACTAAGATGAAAGGAAAAGCACAACTGGCTATGTGTTTTTTCTAGGATCAACAGCTTTCTCATGGACTTCAAAGAAGCAATCAATTGTTGCTTTGTCATCATGTGAAGCCGAGTATGTTGTTGTAGCCTCAACAGTATGTGAAGCAATTTGGTTAAGAAATCTATTGAAGTCAGTGTGTCATCCACAAGTGGAATCGACTGTGATTCATGTGGATAACATGTCTGCAATCAAGCTTGCAAAGAATCCTGTTCAACATGGAAGGAGCAAGCACATTGATACTAGGTTCCATTTTCTAAGGGACCATGTGAAGCAAAAGACAATTGAGCTTGTCTATTGTCACACAAAGGAACAAGTGGCAGACATCTTCACTAAACCATTACCAGTTGAATCATTCCGGCTGTAACGTGAAATGTTAGGCATGAAGGCGTTTTAATTTGAGGGGGCATGTTGGAAATTCAAATTAAAAGTCATGTGATCTGTCCATGTGATGCTAACCTTTCTTTACAGATTGTTTCCAGCAAAATATAATCATCATTGCTCCTTCATTATTCAGCCGAATGGTGATGAAAGACAGCAAGTGTGCTGCCATGTGATGTGCTAGCAGGAAGACAGCAGTGTGCTGCCATGTGCTAGTCGAATCTGTGTTATTTGCAGCTGGAAAGACAGCTGCTGTGTGCTAGCCGAATGTAGACAACCTGGAATACATTTGGTCTCTTCATTTTCACGTTCCCATGTGTTAAAGACAGCAGATATGCTGCTGTCCGTGTGCTGTCAATTGATGGTGTAAAGGTGTAGGTTGTGTTGTATTTAAGGAAGCCTCTCGTAAGGCTTTAGTGTATGAATCCCATCTGATTTGTCATTCAATTCTAGAAGTGTATTTGCAATCTGTTTTTTAATATCAAAG